AGCAAAAGGGGAGAGAAAGAAGAGAAGGCCCAGGACCTGGCCTGGGGACTCCAACATTAAAAGGGAAGGGAGAGGAAGAAGAAGTAACTGTGGGAAAGGAGAGGAAGCCAGAGAGAGAGAGCAGAAAAACCAGAGGAGGATGGCCTTCTCGAGCCTGGAAGGGAGAGTGCTTTCAGAAGACAGCGGTGGGGCAAGGGCAGGGAGAGCAGCGACTGTGCCAAATACAGCTGAGAGGCCTAGGGGGATGAGGACAGAAAAGGGCACCCCTAGACATGGCCTCATAAAAGCCACTGATTACAGGAGCAGGAAAATCTGTGGCAGAATTGGGGTAGGAAGGTGGTTGAGGATGGGGCAAGCAGGCAGTGGGAAAGTGGAGACAGAAGTTTGGTTTTACATGGGAATAAAAAATCTACCTGTAGAGGATACGCTACTGAGGGCAGGATGTTGGGAATGAGAAATGCTGAGTGTGTTTGGAAATATCAACACGATCACCAGCGAGTGAGAGATTGTGCCCCGGGTTTTTTGTTTTTCTAAATAATGATAAGAACTTCTGATCATGTAAGTCTTCACAGTTTACCAAGTGTTGTCACACACACTCTGGCACCTCATCCTCACAGCCATCCTGAGAGGTATACACCAACCCCCAGTTCCAGATGCAGAAGCTGAAGCTTAGTGGAACCGAGGGACAAGCTCGGGGTCAGAGCCAGGAGGTGGCAGGGCTGGGACCCCACCCCCAGGCTGCTCTTGGCATACCCCAGGCCCCTGCCCTCCTTACAGCAGTGCTGTCCCAGCGAACTGGCACAAAACAGGATGGCCTTCACAGCACAGGTTGATCATGCCCTTGATGGCATCTCTCAAGCAGATTTTACAGTTGCCACTGAGCTCGTCACCCCTGCCTGCTGGCCCATCCTTTTATATTAAGAAGCCATAGTTGCTTCAAAAACATGGAACCATGCCCCACTTCCTGTCTCCATTTAACTGAGTTTCAAAGCCTTCTGCATTTCTAGAAGTGCCCAAAATCTGACAGGTGTCAGAGAGAGAAAGTGTGTGAGCCAATGTAGCTCACACCCAGCTTCCCAGGCGTGTCAGCGTGGGAACTGCCAGCAGAATGACAGTGGACAAGTCATCTAACCTCTGAACTTCAGTCTCCACATCTGTGAAATGGGGGTGTTAATAAGACCCATGTCCTAGGATCATTGTGAGGATAGAATGAGACAGTGGGTACAAAGCACTTAGCATAACTCTGGCCATGCAGTGGCTGTTCTGCTAATTCGACCCATTGTTATTTTTTTTATTCATTCATTCAACCACTGATTCACTCATTCTTGCATCAAACAGACATTTGTTGAGCAACTGCTCTGTGCCAAGCATGGCTCCAGGCACAGCAAATGCAGAGATTCATCCATTCCACATGCTTCTGAGCTCAAGAAGTACGTGTTTTAATGAGAAAAGTGATGTTGGAACACAAACAATTCTGGCCTCACAGGAATAAACAAGGTGCAAAATGCTGTGGGTTTCCAGAGAAGAGAAGGTCACATCCAGCAGGGGAAGTCGGGGCAGGCTTCGTGGGAGGATGGAAAGATGGGGAGAGCATTCCCCATAGGAGGGGACCGCTGCAGCTGAGCCAAACCACAGGAGCTGGAAAGGGCAGAGCACATTCAGGGGATGGTGAGAAAGCAAGCAGGAGCATCAGCCCCAAGAAGAAGAGGGGGAGGGGACGAAGGCTGGTTTTCCTGGTTTTGTTGGAGGATTGTCAGAGGCTTTGAGTGTCAGTCTGGCAAACTCAGCAGAGAGCAGCCTGAGTGAAAGGAGGGAGTGGCAACCCCATGCATTGCCCTGACCTTGTGCCATGGGGTGCCAAGAAACCAACCTAGGAGCTGTTGGTCTCCCTTTGTATCTGTAGTCCTGGGAGGCAGTGGGGGCTGGGGGAGATGAGGGCCAGAGTGTCAGGACACATCCCAGGCCACCATGTATGTTTGGGGAAGCCTCTGTGGCATGTGCTCACCCTGTAACAGATGAAAGAATTTGACCCAGCAACCTCACCCCGAAGCTAACACCCCAAAATTCTTTAAAGAAGAGAGAACCGGGGCCAATTGCCTTTCCAGGGTTACTACCATGGTGCAGAGACCTGGTATGTACCCCAGCTACTCAGATTCAAGGCAGAAGGACTGGACTCCAATATGTGAGGAGGCCATGATCCAGGGAGCTGGCTTCAGTGGGTGGTGAACACGTTCTAGGAGACCCAAGGGGCAGGGGTGCACAGGAGGGGTGTCAGCGCTGGGCTTATGTGGTGGCTCCTCAGTCAGCCTGGGGCAGGAAGCACCTGCTCTGATCATCTCATAAGGTTAGTGAGACTCACGGACCCACAGAGCTTCCAGGCCAGGGGCTTTTAAACTCTGGCTCTGGAATCCCTTGCTCAGACAACATATTGTGGAACTAGAGCAGAGATGCTCTAGTTGAATGGAGCGGAGGCCCCCAGGCTGCCTTTCGCCACACACTTCGTGACTCTCAGATTTCGTCCAACTCTTGCATCTCACAGAAGAGAAATGCAAAGCCTGGAGAGAACTGACCCGCCCAAAGCCACCAACCTCATCTCTGGCAAAGCTAGGACCTTCAGAAGCAAATGAGCCCAAGGATGAGAAAGTGCTTTGTAAAGTGTGAAGAGCTACGGAAATGTAAGACTGCCATAATCTTCGCCATCTACATCTCTGTGAAGGTCTCAGCCATGTCTCAGGGGCACTACTTTGTGGGAGGCAGCCAGGGGAAATAATGAACAGGCCTGAGAGTGTTGGCATCATGGGCAGTATGGGAAGAACATGGGGTTTGGACCCTGAAGACACAGAGGCCTAGCACTGCCACTAATAAGTTGTGCCACCTTGGACCTCACTTCAGTCTCCTTTTATGGAAAAATGCTTCGCCTGCCTTCCTTCTGAGATGACGGGGGGCTCAAATGAAACAGTCCATGTGAGGGTGCTTTTAGCAAGGCTGCCATGTGTGGAGTCACAGTCATCTTACGAGGTGCAGTAGTGATGGAAAAGGGGAAGACCCCAAGGCTTGCAAGACCCTTCAGCCCTCACAGGCACTTCCTGTCCCTAGCACTGGCACCAGCTGCTGACCGTGCTGGAACCCAAGTGCCTGTCTCCCCTGCCTAGACAATTCTCCATAGGTCATGCCTTACCCTGGACATGCTGCCCTCAGACACTCCGCCAAGGTTTCTAAGGCACGACCTTCCATCACCGGGTGCTGACTCAGCCCCCAGGGAGCTCCATCTTCCCTTTCATACCCTACGGGTGCCAGAAGGCACCCAGCCAGCTGCTCAGTGTCCCCCAAACCTCACTGGCTTCTGCATCTTGGGATGATGCAGAGGGCCAGACTGGATCTGTTTCAGGAAAGAAAGATGTGATTTCTCTCAAAGACCTTGGAGAGCTCTTTCTGCCCTCCCTGGGTGACCCCAGCTGGGGACCCCCACAGAAAGCATCTGCATTTTCTTTCTTTGGGATGTACACATTCAGGTTGAAACATAGGAAGAGGTGAGGGACCCTGTGGATGGGGTCTGTTGCACTCCTTGGGAGAACCTGGCAAGCTGGTGCTCCCGGGGGGCAGGAGGAGGCCTCAGCCCTTCGTAGCTGTGCTTCCTCAGGGTGACCCTGGGCTCACCAACTTCCCGCAGGGCCCTTGTTTTCTCCAGATGGGAGGGTGATGTGAAGAAATTGATCGTGGGACACCTGAGCTTTTATGATTTAGACATGAGCTCTGAGCTTTCACTCATTCAATCAGCCAACAAACATTTATTGAGCACCTATTGTATGCTAGGCATGGTTCTAGGTACTGGGGAACAAAATGATGAAGAATTCTGCCTTCATGGAGCTGACATTCTAGTAGGACCAGACTGAGAAGAAAGAGAATTCCATATTCAGTGAGAATATGGAATTGTCAGCGGGTGGGACCAGAGGGTTAGTGAGAGATAGAGAGCAGGGTGGTGGTGCAGTGGTGGTGGTGGTTGCTAATTTTGGGAGCGTGGGCAGGCAGGGCCTCACTGAGAAGGAACAGGGGAGCAAGGGCTTAAAAGAGGTGAGGGAGGGAGCCAGCGGTGTGGATGTCTGGAGGAACAGCATCCTGGACAGAGAACAGCAGGTGCAAAGTCCTGGAGGCGGGAACACACCTGGGGCTTCGGTGCAGCGAGAAGGGGGTTGCAGGTGGAGGACAGTGAGACAGAGGGGAGATGAGTAGTGATGCCTTTTAACGTTTTGCCTTGAGTTCTTAGAAACAGATCCAGCAGGTCTAATAACTTTAGACGTGTTAATGTTCTCCCATCTGAGATGCTAATTTCATCTTACTGTTTAAGTGGTGGGACTTCGCCAGCAGAATTGTTCAAACCTCAGCAACAAAGCCTCCTGCTCCTCCAGGGCTCTTTCACACAGGGACTCAGGACTTGGGATAGCAGAAAGGGCATCGGTTCAACTCCCAGCACCTGACACTTCCTAGGCTGTGTTACCTTGGAAAGGGCATTCAGCCTCTCTGAGCCTCAGTTTCCCTAATGAACCTCATCAGTTGTCTCATCTGTAAAAATGGGCTAATAACAGGTTTTCCATACCTACCTCTCTTGATTGTTAAATTTAAATTAATGAGATCATAAGTGTGAAAATGTCTTTTGCATTGAATGGGCAAGATGAGCGTCAGGGAGCTCTTAGTTTTCATCAGTGAAGCCTGTGGGAAGGGGCTGTCTGCGGCTCCCACTCCCCTCCGCCACTTTGCTGTTTATATGGTGTCGCACACAGCCCCCGCTGTCTCTCACTGCGCCTGGCCACACTCTGACTCAGGGACACTCATCCAACACTCACGGGTCCCTGAGGCAAGGCTGGCCAGGTTCACCGGAACATTCTGGGTCTGACTTGCCCAGCCGCGTGTCCGGGTGGACTCCCAGCCCATTTCTGTGATTGGATGGGACTGGGTGGGCCCAGCGGCTCCTCCCCAGCACCCCCTCCTGGTTCCTCCTCCAGGTACAATGGCCCCAACCTGGTTCTGAAGTATGACCGGGCTCAGAAGCGGCTGGTGAACATTGCGGTCGACGAGCGCAGCTCACCCTACTACGCCCTGCGGGACCGGCAGGGGAACGCCATCGGGGTCACGGCCTGCGACATCGACGGGGACGGCCGGGAGGAAATCTACTTCCTCAACACCAATAACGCCTTCTCTGGTAAGGGACGGATCTCAGGCCTCTTCCTGCTTCCTATCTTCTCCCTCCCAGCACCAACTCCGGGGAGGCCATGGGAACCCTGGCCCTTTCTCAGGCAACTGTCACCGGCCCCCTAGGCACTGCGCCCTGCTGCCTTCAAAACCTGCCTGGGTCCCAGAAGGACTCCTTCTCTTGCTCATGAGCCAGTAGGTGTCATCTCGTGAATCACAGGACAGGATGAGCAGAGACCGAGGCTCTTTCTCAGACTGTCCCAACCACTGCCTCCTAGTGTGAGCCCTCCTAACCCCTCCCCTCCTCTCCAGTCCCACTGCCCTGCCCTGGCTCAACCATGCATCGCTCTCACCTGGGTTATGCCAGGACCAGAAGATGCCCCTAGAATCGGCCTCCATGCTGGCTGTAGGGGACCTTTCTAAAATGTTCTGAAATCCTTCAAGTGCCCCCCACTAACTCTCAGCCAAGCTTATTTGTTCATTCCCCAAATTCTTGCCATGCACCTACACTATGCCAGGTACACTACAGAGGTGCCGGGGATACAACCATGAGGAAGACAGGCCTTGAGTTCAGGGAGCCTTTTCTGGCAGGAGTCTAACAGAAGTGTGCATCTGAGTCCCCTAGAGGTCTTGTGCAAATGCAGACCAACTCAGGTCTGGGTGGGACCTGAGAGCCCGCACTTCTGACCCACTCCCAAGCTATGATGACGATGCCTCTGAGTCACCGACCACACTTTGAGTAACAGGGTCCTGCACGCTGGGGAATGGATGAGGGAAATTGATGCCCAGAAGGCTAAATGACAATGACAATAATAACAGTTAATAATAGGTAGCACCTATTATTGTGTGTCAGGCTCTGATCTAAGCATTTTCATTATCTCATTTAGGCCTCACATGCCTCAATTAATAGGTACTGGTAAATACCACTGTACGATTGAGGAAACTGAGGCACAAAGAGGTTACCTGACTTGCCCCAGGCCACGCAGCTTGTAAGTCGCATGATTCAAACCCGAGGTCTGACTCCAGACCCTTCCTCTTAATCAAGATGCTCTACGGCTTTCCTCAACTCTGTTTCCTCTCAGCCTCACAGAAAGCCTGGCTTGTGGTGGCTGCTCTTCTCACGATGTGAGGGCTGTGCTCTTGTGGCGGCCCCCAAGTCAAGGTGGTTTCCCACCCCTGACGCTAGCACTGCCTCAGGCTCAGCTCTCAGGATCTCAGCCCAGGCCTGTGGGGTGGTAACATCTCTGGAAGTCCCAGGCCACGGTGTCCCCGGGGGAGATGTAGAGCCCTGGGTCCCTGTGGGGCCAGGTTGAACGTGCAGTGGGCCCCTCCAGATGGCAGCCCACTTTTGGGTCGGCTTTGGATGAAACCCTGTGGTTCAGACTTGAGCAGTCCTCATCCTAGACCTCCCAACCTTCTGGAGGCCGGTGACTGCCTGGCTGTGAGGATCACCCTCCTTGTGCCCTACCCCCACCCTGGCATATGCACACCGGCTTTCCCCTGAGCCATGACATTAGCCTTACTGGTTGTTGAGCCCAAGCCAAGATCCAGCCCCTAGACTGCCCCTGATGTTGAGCCCTACAGTTGCATGAATGGGAGAGGAAGAGGTTGGGGCTTATGCCAGGGGCTGGGGCAGGCAGTGCTTCCTGGCTGGCATCCAGCCTTGTGCAGCCAAGAAACAATGAACCACAGCCCCAAGTGGTGTTTTATGGGTTTTCATCTCATCTTGCCACAAAGTGAGGCCTGAGAGATAGTAATTATCCCTACACAAATATCAGGGCATGATTATGCAGCTGGATTTACTGCCCTCTCTCCAGCCAAGCCAAGATTGGATTAGGACACAATTAATTGATGGGATGATCAACTCTTTAATGTGGGACAAGGTCAGGAAGGGAGCAGCATCAAGGGATGCCTGTAGAAGGGGTGAGTCCTCAGGAAGTCTCCCAGAGGCTGGGAAGCTGGAGCGAGGAGAACTGTGGATGTGTTGGCTCGGCAGTCAGATGCCAGAGGAAGGGAACAGACCATCCCCTATTCACCAAGCACAGAGCACCTGCAGTGGCAGCCCCCAGGTGTCTCTGAAGCAGCAGCCCCTCCCATGCTCTTAGAGTGCTGCCTTGTAAATCCCAGAGCCCTGGTTCCCTGCTCAGGCTGCACATTAGGGTCACCTGGGGAGCTTCCAACAATCCCAGCTAAGCTGCACTCCAGTCAATCGCATCAGAACTCTAAGCGTGGGACCCAGTCACCAGACGGTAAAGACCTCCAGGTGATTCCCCCAAACACCAAGGTCAAAGGCCACAATCATAGCATGACTCCTCAGAATCATGCTCAGCACCACAACCCTACTCATTTATTAATGCATTCATCCATTGGACAAATACTTACTGAGCACCTACTATTCTAGGCACTGAGGATGCTTCAGTGAATAAAACACAAAAATCCTACCCTCATGAAGTTTACATTCTGTCTTCAACACAGCCTTATATTTCTCTGGGTATCTTAGTCCCCTCTCCCAACCCGCTGCCTGGACTCTAAGCTCCTTGAAGGCAAAACCTTGTATTGTTCATGTTGTGGCCCCCTTTGGCCCCAGCTGGACACTGCATATCCTAAGAGCTAAATTAAAATTTGATAAATGAATCCCAGGAAGAATAGGCAGGCATGAGTCTCGGAACTGAGAGAGGGTTTGCCAACTGAGGGAAGTCAAGAAAGACAGGCACAGTGGAGGCCCCAGAAAGGCCCTGGGCTCCTGGGATCAAGGGATCAAGGGCACAAGTGTGCGTTGGGAGAGACTGGAGCCAGCCCCTGGGGTGGGGATGAGGCAGCAATGCCCAGCAACCTCTGTGCTGGTGACCTTCTGTGGGTTTGAGTTAATTTTTCAGTTGAGTGATCCCATTGATTCATCGACAGTGGGCAGGGTGTGGAGCAGGGACGCTGTGTTGAGTCAGCAATTCCTCGGGCCCAGCTGGCATGGCACTCGGCCATTGCCACCCTGCCCACTCTCCAGGGGCCCGCAACCAGACCAGGCATGCCCATGGCATTTGGCTATACCCATGGCATGTGCCAGGGTGCTGAAGTGACCTGTGGAAGCGTGGTCCCTCTCCCCTCCCCCTGCCAGCCTTTGGGATGCTAGCATTGGAGTTCCTGGAAGAGGACCAGCACCTTGCATCCCAACAACATCCTGTGGGAGTCATTTTGTACAAACCTGGGGTCTTCCCCTTATTAACCGTGTGATCTTGGACAAGTTACTTGACCTCTCTCAGCCTCAACTCCCACATCTAAAATCATGCCAACTTCTCAAGCTCAACTCCTGCCCATGGCTCCATAGACTATATCCAAAGCCTTTCCCATCCCATCCCTCCCATAGGTTCTGGATGGGAACCCCTCCTACGTGACCCGGGTTGCCTTTCTGAATTTCTTTCCTCCATTCTTCCTCTTACTAGCTGCCTTCCCACCTGAGAGCTTCTTGATTGCTGTTCCCTCTGCCTGAAATGCTTTTCCCACTGATGTTCTCCAGGCTCACTCCTTCATTCAGGCCCCCCTCCAGTGAGATCTTTCCTGAGCCACTTACCTAAAATTGTGCCCCCATTACCCGCTGTGCCCTTAACTGGCTTGATTTTCCTTCACAGCACTGACCACTATCTGAAAATATGCAACCTCTGTTTGTTGTCCATCTCTGCTCCGAGGGTCTTAGTTCCATGGGGATGTCTTGTTCACTACCGTACTCCAGATCCAAAGGAGTGCTTGGCACTTAGTAAGCATTAAATACACGTTTTTGAATGAACACCTGAGATAATGAATGGAAGCACTCATTGCAGTGCCTAGGACTTAATGAGCACTCCACACAATAGCCATTCTAGTCCTGTGGCTCTGAAGAAAGCCAGAGACTCTAAGTGTCGTGGGCAGAGGGAAAGAGAGACTGTGGGAATATTTCCCAGACTGTGGGAAAGAGAGACCATGGGAACAAAAAGAAAAGGACCGTAGTGTAACACTGTGCAGATGAGGGTCCCAAGTGGAACAGGGTCAAGGGCTGAGAATTGGCTAGTAGGTAAGAAAAGGGAGAAGGAGGAAGACTGACCACCATTCCAAGAGGGCCTGGGCCAGGAAACCAGCTTATAGCTTCACTGACCTGGGAAAATACAAGCCACTGAGTAGCATTTAAGGCAACACCACTCAGTGAAACCAGGTAGGAGAGTGTGCAGGATGCTGAGGACAAGAGGCGGATGCCATCACCTCCCTCCACATTCAGGAACCCAGGATCTTCTGCAGCTCCTGGTCAGAGTCCATCCCCTGGGTTTAGGGGTGGGCAATTACACACTAGCTCACCCCAGCTTCTTTACTGAATAGCCCTGAGAGCTCCTGCCCACATGGACTGGTCTGGGGTCACAAATGGGAGCATGAGTAGCAATGGGTCAGTGTGAACTGTGAGCCCCACCACTATTGTGTTTTCATCATTCAGTTCCACAAAATGATGATGGAAGATCTGCTATGTGCAGGGCACTGCTCAAATAATTCCTGTGTCTCCCTCCTTTCTACACAAACAGCATGCCCAGCTCATGGTTCCACTCCTTGCTCTTTTCATTTAACAATGCATTTTGAATTTGATTTCGTGGCAGTACACAGAGAGCTTTCTCATTCATTTTATGGTTGTATAGTACTCCATTGTGCCATTAATTTAATTGGTACTCTATTGATGAAAGATTACTTGCAGTCTTTTCCCTTTGCCCAAATGAGTAAGTTTGTACAACATGCCATTTCCCACACTACAGGCGTACTTGTGAGTTCACAGAAGTAGAATTACTGCATCAAATGAATATACATGTGTAGTTTTCATCGCTGCTGCCAAATTGTCCTTCCTAGGGCCACCGCTCAGGATGTTCCCATCAGCCAAATATGCAAGCAAGCATTTTCCAAACTCACAACACAATATTTCATCTATTTTTCAGTATTTGCCAATCCGATGGGAAAAAATTGATATCTAAGTATAGTTTTAATTTTCATTTTTGTTAAAATGAA